ACTATGTAGTTCAGGATGGCCCTGAACTATGTAGCCCAGGCTGGCTTTGAGCTCACAGTAATCCTCCTGCCTCAGCCTCCCCAAGTTGTGGGATTACAGATGTGCTCCACCACACGTGGCTCCTTCAGTCACTTTTGTTTCTTTTCCTGGAGCTCGCTCTTGGCATGTACCTTGCCCTTTTTTAAGTCCCTGGTGTCTGCGCTTTGTTGTTTTTCTGTGTTCTCATCTCCTGTCACCTTTCCTGTCACGTCTTAATCCCCAATTCTGAGTCTCCTGCTGTTGCATAGTGCCCCTCATAGGGGCCTAGTGCCTCTCAGTCCTTTTGCTTTAAGGTCACAGCTCACCCTGTCCCATGGGTGCTTCTACCCCCAGATCATCCAGCTGACTCCTGTGCCTGTGAGCACACCCAGCGGCCTGGTGCCACCCTTGAGCCCGGCCACCCTCCCTGGACCCACGTCACAGCCTCAGAAGGTCTTGTTGCCCTCTTCCACCAGGTGAGCACAGTTGAGCACTCCTGTGTTGAGGGGCAGGGTAAGATTGGGCAGGCCAGCTCATTTCGTCCTTCATCTTTCCTCTCTGTGGCAGAATCACCTATGTGCAGTCGGCAGGTGGGCACACGCTGCCTCTCGGCACGAGCCCTGCATCCAGCCAGGCTGGAACAGTTACCTCCTATGGGCCCACAAGCTCTGTAGCTCTAGGCTTCACTTCACTGGGGCCCAGTGGACCGGCATTCGTCCAGCCCCTGCTCTCAGGTAAAGGCAAGCTTGGTAGGGAGCACTGAGGACTCCTAGTGGGGCTGAGACAGGGCAGGCCCTAACTCAGTCCCCTGCCTCTCTTTTTTCTGTCTCTCAGCTGGCCAAGCCCCACTGCTGGCTCCTGGCCAGGTGGGCGTGTCACCTGTACCCAGCCCCCAGCTGCCTCCTGTCTGCACAGCCTCAGGAGGTCCTGTCATAACAGCGTTTTACCCTGGCAGCCCTGCACCCACCTCCTCAACACCCCTGGCTCAGCCATCCCAGGCCCCCCCAAGCCTGGTATATACTGTGGCCACCAGCACCACCCCACCTTCTGCCACCACCATTCTGCCCAAGGGCCCACCGGTCCCTGCCACTGCCACCCCAGCCCCCACTAGCACTTTCCCTAGTGCCACAGGTGGGTGTCAGACCAACCAGGGAAGCGTGAGTTGGGGATGTGGGGGTGGTCTCCATTCAGGCCTGACTCAGCAAATGTTGTTCTTTCCACCAGCGGGTTCCATGACCTACAGCTTAGTGGCTCCCAAGGCCCAACGTCCCAGCCCAAAGGCCCCCCAAAAAGTGAAGGCAGCCATCGCCAGCATTCCTGTAGGCTCCTTTGAGGCAAGTGCCACTGGGCGGCCTGGCCCTGTACCCCGGCAGCCTCTGGAGCCTGGTCCAGCCCGAGAGCCAACTGCCCCAGAGTCCGAGATTGAGGGGCAGCCTACACCACCAGCCCCTCCACCGCCCCCAGAGACCTGGCCTCCCATAGCCCGGAGTAGTCCCCCACCACCCCTGCCTGCAGAGGAACGGACTGGTGCCAAGGGCCCTGACATCATGGTGAGTTTCTGAAGGTCCTGGGGCTCCCCCTGGTGCCCACCTGTTTGCTGCCCTTATTTCCTTGCTTGCATGTGTGTCCTGTCTGTTGTATGCCTTCCACCTCAGGTCCAGCTCTAGCCTTCCTGAAGCCATAGAAGTGGGTCTTCTCTACGTCTGTGTGTTGAGCTGTCCAGAATTCATGTTACCCCAGTGGGTCAGCCCAGTGCTTTTCTCCCTGCTTGTCCCTACCCCAGGCCAACAAATTCCCCAGCTCATCCTCAGACTGGCGCGTCCCTGGGATGGGCCTGGAGAGCCGTGGGGAGCCTCCCACTCCTCCAAGTCCAGCCCCAGCTCCAGCTGCAGCCTCGGGTGGTAGCAGCAGCAGCAGCAGCAGCAGCAGCAGCAACAGCAGCGAGGGCAGCAGTGGGAGGGCGGCTGGGGACACACCTGAGCGCAAGGAGGCTGCTAGTACTGGCAAGAAGGTGAAGGTGCGGCCCCCACCCTTGAAGAAGACCTTTGACTCTGTGGACAAGTGAGCAGGGGCTGGGGACCTTGGCAAAGGGTGTGGGGCAGTTGGGAGAGGGGGCGGCTGCAGGCTGAGGCAGAGGAGCTAACCCTGCCGGCCCTCCAGCAGGGTCCTGTCAGAGGTGGACTTCGAAGAACGCTTTGCTGAGCTGCCTGAGTTTCGGCCGGAGGAAGTGCTGCCGTCACCCACCCTGCAGTCTCTGGCCACCTCACCTCGGGCCATCCTGGGCTCTTACCGCAAAAAGAGGAAGAACTCCACGGGTAGGCGAGTGCTGGCTCCTGGGTGGGTGGGGGAACAGACTGGGACTACCTCTGCTGACCCTGCTTCTCTTTGGCTAGACTTGGACTCAGCACCAGAGGATCCTACCTCACCTAAGCGCAAGATGAGGAGACGCTCTAGCTGCAGCTCAGAGCCCAACACCCCCAAGAGTGCCAAGTGCGAGGGAGACATCTTCACCTTTGACCGCACAGGTGCAGGCACTGTAGGGACCCCAGCGCCTGCAAAAGGGCTTTTGGGAGGGTGGTATGGGAACCGTGAGGTAGGAATTGTAAAGAAGAACAGCAAGTCAGGGGTGAGTTCTGCAGTTGATAATGTAGCTGAGTTGGCATGTGATATTGCTGGTCCCCTCTGACTCCTCTGTGAAGTAGAATTGAGAGAACTTGATTGGGTACTCAGGTGGTGGCCTGCAGGCTTGGGCCGCTATTGTTTTTTTTTTTTTTTTTTTTTTCTCCTTGAGACAGGTTCTTGCTATGTAATTCAGGCTGGCCTCAAAATTCCTGGCAATCCTATATCAGTCTCTCAAATGCTGGGATCATAGGCATGCGCCATGCCGGTGTTGTAGTCTTGACCCTGCTCCCTTTGCCCTGCAGGTACAGAGGCTGAGGATGTGCTAGGAGAGCTGGAATATGAGAAGGTGCCATACTCCTCACTGCGGCGCACCCTGGACCAGCGTCGAGCCCTCGTCATGCAGCTCTTCCAGGACCATGGCTTCTTCCCATCAGGTGAGTGTGTTTTAGACTCTTGGAGGTCACTTGGATGGGAATTGCTTAGTATCTCATCCTGCCCTCTCCACAATTTTTCTGTTCCCAGCCCAGGCTACAGCAGCCTTCCAGGCCCGCTATGCAGACATCTTCCCGTCTAAGGTTTGTCTGCAACTGAAGATCCGAGAGGTGCGCCAGAAGATCATGCAGGCAGCCACTCCCACGGAGCAGCCCCCTGGAGCTGAGGCCCCCCTCCCTGGACCACCCCCAGCTGGCACTGCTGCTACCCCTGCTCCCACACCTAGCCCTGCTGGAGGGCCGGACCCCACCTTACCTGGCTCGGACTCTGGCATGGCTCAGGCTGCCCCACCACTGCCTCCACCCCCAGAGCCTGGACCTGGCCAGCCTGGCTGGGAGGGGGCCCCTCAGCCTTCCTCTCCACCCTCAGGCCCTTCCACAGCTGCCACGAGCAGGTGAGGGGCCTTTTTGAGATCCCAGGACCCACAGTACTCTCCCTCAGGATATGGACAGTATGTAGGCGGCAGAGGGGGGGTAGTGGGGTGGTTACCTCCTCCCCAATAAAGCCATTTCGTCCTTCCTAGTTTGGGGCGGAATGAGGCCTGCTCCTCTTGTATATAGTCCCTACCCCCAGTTCCCTCCCTGTTCTGGGGGGCGGCTGAGGAGAAGCAGGGGTATAGTCCCTCCACTGAGCCCCTGTTCATAACCTGGAGTGTGACCTTCAGAGCTTTTCACTTGTACTTTATGCAAAATGGCTCATGTGAGGGCTGCAAGCTGGAAGGTATTGTGGGCCTTGGGCCACAGGGAGGTGCCTGTGGAGTAGGGGGAGTTCGTGCACCCCGTTTTTCCCCAGAGGGGCTGGACTCAGGTTAGTTTGGGGGTGGGGCTCCTGCACTTTTGCCACAGGCATGGGGAGGGTTCTCTCCCTATTCCTCTGCCCTCCCAACTTGGGTTGTACTTTCTAAGAAGGTAATTCCCCCTGCCCTTGCCCCCCATCCCCGGAACAAAACATGTTGATCATGTGCAATATTTCTTACTGTGCCGAGAAGCAGCAATGACCGCGATTAAAGCTGTTTAACACAACTGTGTGGTTGCTTGCTCTGAAGTGGGAGGGGTGTTGTACCAGTCCTATCCCCAGATCAGTTGGCTGTAGAGCAGTGCACTCATCAAGAGTAGAAGAGCAATTGCAGTACCACCCCAACATCAGAGGGACCCTGGGGGCCAAAGCCCCTGTCTTTATGGATGAGGTGGTCTCTAGTGCAGGAGGCCAGTGCTCAAGGAACCACAATGCCCATGCTGCTCCTAGGCTTTCAACATGTTTGTGCTCAGGGATGGCCTGAGGCGACCTGGTGGGTTTGGGAAAGGCAGTTTACCTTTATCTGTACTGGAATCAGTTTTACTCAAACAGGCTCCAAGAGGTTCTAGCCCAGAGGCAGCACTTAAAAGGCTAATCCACCCAGAATACTAGGCCACCCTGTGACCCCCCTACTGCCCCCACGTGGTCTGAGTCAGCACTGCAGCCTCTGGCTGCGGTGTCCTGAGACACTGCACCCAGACCACTAACGGTACTGAGTCTGGAAGCCTCCATACGAGGTGGCATCTAAGTTAAGGCCAGAGCACCAGGAAGTTCAGCCAGGATAACATGTAGACTGGAGGAACAGCTCAACGTGCTTTGAGTGTTCCCAGAATTCCTGCTTGACCTTGATCCTAACAAGGTAAAGCTAGCAAACTGGTTTTACCCAGTGTGTTTCTTGATTGGTAGCATCTACCCAAAGTATACTGTTGTGATAGTGGAAATTCACCTGTATCCAAGAACCAAAAGTGTCTTGATGGACTAGTCATGCCTATTGGGAAGGAACAGAAGCACCCTGTAGGGTCTCATACCAGGATGAGGATCTGGTGGTGGTACCCAGACAGTTGTGGCCATGAAACAGGAAACAAAGACCGAGGAAAGAATTTAATGTGGAGGGCAGGGTTAGGGTTAGGGTGTGGGCTCTGGCAGAGGAACACTCTGGCCCTGGTCTTGGGCCAGCAGACGGAGAAGCAGAGAGTGCAGGGCCCGGCAGACAGGTGTGTAGCCCAGGCGGGTCAGATGGAGATAATCATACATGTCATGATGACTTATGGTGCCATCAGAGTGCACAAAGCCAGGGTCAGCATCGAGGAAATGGGCCCGAGGATGGCCTGCCAGTGCTGCCCGTACCAGCTCATTCACCAGTCGGTTCTTCTCCCGAAGTGGGTTTGGGTGCTGGCCCCTTGGAAGCAGTCCCTGAGAAGCAACATGAGTCTTAGGGAGATGTCCTGCCAGCATCTGGCTACTCTGTTCTCTGTGCCAAATTGTCCATCCTTCACCATAAAGTTCCCAGCTGCAAAATACACTACGCTAGGGGTACAAAAGTGAGGAAGGCAGAAGGGTAGTTCTGATACCATGTCCCAGCATCCAATCAGGAAGAACTGAGTGCCAACCTCTCCGTCTTTCCAAGTATCACTCATAAAAATGTGGCATGGAAGTGCCCCATTCAAAGGAGGAAGTGTCTCAGCCTAGATACACTCCATAAATGCCTGACAACTTTTGCCTACATGAGGTCTATTGAAGAGGAGGGTCAACACCTCCAGAATCTCAGGCAAAAGTCCCTGAACACACCCTCAACACAGCTACTTATCGGTATAGTAAGCTACCACATAAGGTTTTGCTTGAGAGCCATTTCACTGTGCCAAGTTGTCAAGAACTGTGCTAGGCTACATCTAGGAGGTCCCTAACCACCGCCATTCTTCCCTTTCCACCCTCCTGGCCTCTCACCATCACCACAACCCGGGCCTGGGGCTGCCGCTGGTTCACCAGTTCCACAATGGCCTTGATGCCACCGGTCACCTGTTCTGCTGTGTGCCCATGGTTGTTGGTGCCCACCCAGACTACCACAATCTGTGGAAAGAGGCACAAAGCAGCAGTGAGGTGGCAGGCAAAAGGCGCTTAAGCTCCCCACCCACGTCCCACTCACCTTGGGCCGGATGTGTTCTAGTTCTCCATTCTCCAGTCGCCACAGTACGTGCTGTGTGCTGTCACCACCAATGCCAAAGTTAAGTGCATGCAAAGGAGAGAAGAGCTCTCGCCAGATCTGTGGGCAAGAAGTGGAGTGGGCACAGGGGCATCCTCGGCATGGACCACCACCTTCCGTCCAAGCTTTAATCAAATGCCATATGGAAGCTGTTTGGTTAAATCTCACCTTGAACAAACCCCAGTACTGTGTAACTCTTTTCTTTCTTTTCTTTTTCTTTTTTTTTTTTTTGGTATCAGGGATCGAACTCAGGACCTTGTGCTTTCCACACCACTGAGCTAAATCCCCAGCCCCCATGTAACTAGAAGCAAGACTCATTTTATGGAAATTAGTCTTTGTGAGCTGCGCATTCAGCTAATAGCATTATGGTTGAATTTTGTTTTAAGAAAAAAAAATTTATGGTTGAACCTTGCTTAGCGAAAAGATTATGATTGAGACCCCTTTGTGGAGTACCATTATAGTTGACCTTTACTTTGTATAAACCCAACAAGGCTGTGCTGTACTTTAAGCAAACAATAAAGAGCCTCACCCTACGCAATCTTCTTTCAAGAGAGCTTAAGTCTGACAAACTCTGGGCACACACTTTCTTCTCAGCAGAATGTTACACTTTAAGGAGATTCTCGGTGCCCAGCTGCCTCAGGCCATTTTCAAGTACTCATGCTTAGTCTGCCCTGGGTTCTAGGCTACACGTATCACTCAGAGCATAGCCCGGGTGGGTGGGGAGTGTGGGGGAGAAGGGGATGGGTCTCACCTCGCACTGGTGCATTAATTGGACCAAGGAGTCCCCGATGAAAACTACTTCGGGTTCCTTGTCTTTGCTGTCCGCCACGAACCGATGGTGCTGCGGGGACGCACGAAGGCTGTGTTTGTCAGTCAATGGCACGCACGCTGCGTGACCCCTACTGTCCTGCTTTCTCAGGCAGCACTCAAATGTGAGCCAGGCTGTGAGAACCGCGGATCTCTAGAGCCAGTCCGCCCCACCCCACCCCCTTAGCCTCTGAGCACCGCGGGCGGGATCACCTACCAGAGACATCCATCGCCCGTCGCCCTGCACGTCCTGCACCGACGTGGGCTTGCTGGCTGGGTTATCCCCTTCGCTCATCTCGGCGCGGCAGTTCCTGCGGAACAGCTAGCGAGTGAGGTTGGCCGGAGAATGCTCTTCGAGGCTCCGCCACGCCCACTTCTACCCCTCTGGACGACAATGGACCGTCCCGACGCGCCTACACTCGGGAAGGGCGAAGGCCGATCTGGGGCACCGCCTCCTCTCCAGGGGCGGAAACCTTTACTTAGTAGGAAGGTGGAATTATCGAGAACCCTCTCTTCCCCCAAGGTGGCCGAGCAGTGGGCTCGTCCGGCGCTTCCCGCCCAGGCCTCACGCTCCCCCGCCGCCGCTGCAGGATGGCCCCGGCACGGAGGGGGGGTGCAGGCGAGACCATCCAGCGCCCATGGCGGGGGAGGGAGGACAAACCACCCTGTGGCGTCACGGGGTGGGCCCATCTACCTCAAAAGCCAAGAGTGGGTAGCGAAAACCTAGCGCCGGTCTTTGAAGGAAGAAACCATTTGCGGTAGGGAGAGAAAAGTGCAGAAGGAACCCCTATGGTGGGAGGGTGTGCCCCATACACGTGGTGGTGGGGGTGAAGGGAGCTAGTGGGGCGAGTTCATTCTTGGATCTCTGGAGGGATGTTTCGTACGCATCTGGTCTGGAAGGGATTCTCCCCATTTTTTATTTATATGGGGGACTGAAAAGGAAGATGGCAAAACGTAAAAATTAGAGACCTGGTTTTAAGGAGATACTTTAAGGTGGCGCCAGTGTTTTAGGGAATCTACCTGTTCTTGGACTTCCTCTACCCAAGACATCATCTTTTTTGTTGTTACTGTTATTGTGTCGGTACTGGGAGAGTAAACCCAGGGCCTTCTCACTGAGTGACATCCCCAACCCTTTTTATTTTTTATTAGAGACTAGGGCCTCACTAGTTGCTAAGTTGCTTAGGCTGCACTCAAACTTGTGATCCTCCTGCCTCAGCTTCCCAGAGTGCTCAAGTTAGGGGCTTATGACACCATGCCTAGCTCAGGGTCTTTTTTTTTTGGTAGTGGGGATCGAACTTGGGAACTTGTGCTGTGAGGCTGGCAGTGGAACCATTGAGCTGAGTCCCACCCCACCCCCTTTGATGGCATAAAATGTAAACTACATATTTGTCCATTCAAAACACCACAGGGCCTGCATAGAAAGTAGAAAAAGTTGAAGAAAGAGAAAGGAAACTGGAGATGTCTCTAGGGCCTAGGTCTAGGTAGCCTGGCACCCCTCCCTCAGATCATGTTGCAGATCTGTGGCCGCAGCTCCCCTCTCTAAACCCAAGGACCAACCAACAACTTCATTTGGGTGTGTCTAGGTTCTGAAACCCACAATAACAGCCAAGGCCACCTAGGGTAGCACCTCTACTCCTCTGGCTCCAAATTAATCTCAGACTTCACTGTACTCTCCTATCTCTCTATTCTGAGGGACCAGGTGGGGGGTCTCATTTGCCTCTCAAAGTCCTGGTCATTTTCTTGTAATTCCACCTCCAGGTCGGACCTTCCTCTGTACTCATTCCTTCTGGATAGATTGGTCCTGAGGCATAGAGATGAGTCTTATTTATTGTATTTATGTTCTGTGTCTTCCCTGGAAATGGCTCAGGCACAGTGGCTGCTCAACAAGTACAATATTTGCCAAATGAATATTACACGGATGAGTCGGACTATGGCCTTATCTGTGTGTTTTGAGAGACAGATCCAGAGCTGAGAGAGGTCAAAGCTGTGATTAAGGTACAGGGAAGGAGAAATAGGAGGACTTTGAGGGCCAGTGTGTTCTAGTACTCTCTGAGTGGGTTTTGAGAAGATAATGAAGCAGAAAGAAAAGACACACTGGTTATGGTATTACCATGGGGAATACCTTGGCATGGCTTTTGCAAGTGTGTATGTGTGTTACTGGGGATCAGAGTGGGTGCTTTGTCACTGAGCTATGTTCCCAGCCTACCCCCTCCCTTTTTTGTACTGGGGACCAAACTCGGGTCCTTGCGCTTGCGAGGCAGGTGATGGAACCACTGAGCTAAATCCCTGGCCAAGCCTACTCCTTCTTTAAAAAAAAATTTTTTTTACACAGTATCTCTCAGTTTTTCAGCTTGAACTTTTGATCTTTTAGCCTCAGCCTCTCAGTGTGTTAGGATTAGAGGCTTGAGCCACCATAACCAGTTTATAACTTGGCTAAGTGTAGACAGGTAAATTGGAGAGACAGAGGTGTAGTTTCTTTCTTTCCTTTTTTTTTTGTACTAGGGATCGAACTCAGGTCCTTGCGCTTGCAAGGCAGGCACCTGAACCACTGAGCTAAATCCCCATCCCTCTTTCCCTTTTTACTCCCCTCCCCTCCCCTACCCCCCCTCCCCTACCTCCCCTCCCCTTTCCTTT